ATTTTTCAAAAAGCTTTGGCATTTTCTGTGTTAAATGGTGTAACGGAAGCCCGTTACGGATTTAAATTCTTTCGATTATATACAGGCTGTTTCACGCAAACCGTTGCCTAAAAGTATTTAGACTTACATTAACAATTTAAATCTGAAAATTGTCATACCAACATAGTTTTTCGTGATCTAGAAAATATTATCATGATCGTTCGGATAGAAACTTTCTTATTTTAATAGAACACCCTATATTTTATTATATTTTCGAAATCTACATGAAAATTTACGTCATTTGGTACCACATTTCCCTATACCCACCATAACAGGTTTTCAAGTTTTTCAAGATTTTTCAAAATTTTTTACGTTTTACTGCTTTTCTTTAGCGCCCTGTACCTATGGCTCCCTTAACTTGATTTTCAAAAAGTTTTTCAAAATCCACTGACGTGATGCTTCATGCGAATCAGGATGCGAATGATTTAAATTTTGGTCGCCCTTCTACAGGGTGTTTTAAAATTAATGGTCAAGTTTAATACCTTCGAACCTTAAAATTGATTTTTTCAAATGCAACCTGCTTTATTTCGTTGCATTTTCAAGAGTCGAAAAAAATTCTACATCGATCAATTATTACATTCCCTATAGCTTTCTGTTGTGGTTTTCGTGGGGCCTTGAAATAAACGTTAGCAGATCTATCAGATATACTTTTTTATGGTTATAATTGTTATCATTCGTTGTTTATATCACTGAGTATGAAAAATCCTAATGAATACAACGTTAAATAAAGATGACAGATAAAAATAACAAACGACAAAATAAAAAATAAATATGAAAAAATCATCTTTTTAAGGATTGAAACTTGACCATTAATTTTAACCCATACCAATAGTAAGATGCGAGTCTGTTTATTAGCAGCGTTAAAAAAGCGTGGGTTTTGCGGTAGCACACGCGAGTCGTCAAAATTGCGTTGGAGTCGTATCGGGCAACAAATTCGAAAGAAGAGGACCACGTGGTTGATCTCGCGATTTAAAACGATCCGTCCAATTTCGTTGGGACCGCATCGGTTTTTAAGCGCGTCATGAAAACCCAGAAAAACGTTGGGGCCCTATCATTATAGCTCGACCACTAAAGATCGTATTCACGAGAAGGTCGTTGGGACCTAGGTTGGGACCGTATTGGTTACTGACGAGTTAGCTGCGAAAGTGATCACTTCCCGGAAGTGATCACTATTACGTTGTTTCTTTTAATCGATCAAATCCATAGAATCCATTGTGAATTTTATATTGATTATTACGTTACCCCAAATCATGAGAAGGGAAATACATCCGAGTACAGTATGTAGAACAACAAAGAATTTTCTACTTTTTTTTAGTGTAATATCCTTAACAATTTAGCAAGCACTATCCTTGTTGTTGCGTCTCGAGGAAAAGAGTTCTGCTTAGTTTCTTCGACAGGGTAGCAATTTTCGAGAAAAATTGAAAATACCAATCGACATCAATCAATCAAATAATCTGATAGAAGTATAGACACTCGGGGCATAAATACCGCGCAACAAGCGATCGATAGAAACAGAAATCTTAACTACTGCAATCTTCGATCGTAACTGCGATTTACAATAAATAACGCACAAAAAAAGCACAAAGAGAAAACACTTCGGAACCTCCCTTCTTTGACTGCATTTAAATTTCGAGTACGACGGCACTAGATTCTTTGTAATTACAAATAAAGCACTCATCTGATATTCTTCTACAAAAATGTTCTACCGAAACAATAAGCGGTTACGTAAAAAAAACGACGCTTAACGTCCACCACTTAAGCAAGGAACGATTAATGTTCGACTCTTCTATTTAAAATAATTTCCCTTCCTTCACAATTTTATGCATCGTTGAATGCACCTTCTTATCTACGACCGGAGATAAACTTATTTCCAGATGTTTAAATATGGTCGTGTAATAAAATTGAGCAAATAAATAAAATACAAGGTGATTATTTAAACAAAATTAACAACTAATTCTGATACAAAAGAAAATTGATCTCGAATTCAACTAATATGATCGGATGTTGGGCCCACTCTCGAATTAAAACCAACATTTTAACGTTAAAAATAATTGAAATGCACATATAGGGTGTCCCATCGGTATTGCCGAAGCCAAATAAAACGTACGCATTGCGTAGTTTAAAATTCCAACGTGGCGCCACCCTCACTTGCTCCAGGAACTCTCGTCTGGTGGGTTGCACACGCAAATATTGATTTCTACTGAATCATTTTTTTCGACGACTTTCCTAAGCTGAATGGTTGTTACGTGTGTGCCCTCCCCCCTCCTCCAACGGTGGTTACAGGGACGAACGAGCGTGGCACCACGTCGGAACTGAGAGGAAGAGTCAAAGAGCATAATATGTACCAATGTTCATAGCTTTACCCAAAAGTGCTAATTTTATCTCAATTTAGGACCTTTAAAGAAATGTTCTCCATGCCTTTAAAATTCTGAAACAAGATAATTAATTTAAAATATCTAAATGCCCTTTTGCTTCAAATCTTGCGATCTCTCCTCGATTGCTAAGAGATTTTCATCAATATCTGCACAAATGGCGAATTATCTTACAGATGAATTTTCTATTCGTCAGTATCTTTTGTACTACCAATCACAAATATTAGAGATGGCGAGGTCTAAATTTTCTATTGGTCAGTATCTTTTGTACTATCAATGACAAATTAGAGATGGCGTGGTCTAAATTTTCTATTGGTCAGTATCTTTTGTACTACCAATCACAAATATTAGCAATGGCGAGGTCTAAATTTTCTATTGGTCAGTATCTTTTGTACTACCAATGAAAAATTAGAGACGGGGAGGTCTAAATTTTCTATTGGTCAGTATCTTTTGTACTACCAATCACAAATGCTTAAGGTCCTTAATAATTAAAAAAATTCAAGTTAAGCAGTTTTCACAGTGATTATGCTTATTCGGAAAAGAAATGTTTATAGGCTATTACGTTCAAAAATTTCAATACAAACCTAAATGGTCTCGTTACACACCCCGATAAGAAAAGACCACATTCTAATGGTTCTTTTAATTTTTCAGATCCATTCTTAACATTGTTTCTTGGAACCTTTTGTTTCTTTAACCTCTTCGTATTTTTCTGTTCCATGAATTCAACGGAAAATATACTTTAAAGATACTCGAAAAAGGAGACAGAAAGAATTGAAGTTTCCACCGATCAGTTCGATAGAAAAGATCAAATTCTAAGGCTTCAGATGCATAAGTATATAGAGCATTCAAGCCTTTTTCATATCGGAATGGAGGTTTTAAAATGGAGGCTTTGAAAGTGCATAAAACCCAATTGGTCACATATTTTGCATGCGCATGTGTTTAGTGGTGCCAAGTAAAACTTTTGGATATGGTGGGGGGGGGGGGGCTCACGTTGTACCCTTCATGTCTTGGTTTGTACAAAGTATAACTTTCCCACGCGATTCCTTTTCGAGATCAGTGGATGACCGGCAAAGGGGGGGTGTTGGAGAGACTGGTTTTATCCTTCATTGTACTCTAATGAAAGGTCTCAATAAAAGGAACTAATTTTTACCTACCATACTCTTCCTCCTCGAGCCCTTAAAGAGTGGATTGTCGGAGGAGGGTACTCAAAAAAGAGAGATTGGGACGTCTGGAAGAAATATATTCGTGGTCAAAAATGTAAAAACTAATATTTCGACAACGGTTTGTCGGGGGAGAGTACTCACAAATACAAAATGAATCGTTTCAACGAGACACATCTACTGATGATTCCGTGCAAATATCTGTAGAACGGAATGTAGGAGGAGCGTACTCTCAAAGGGCGGAAAGATGGTCTAAACGAGACACATCCCCTGGCGATCTGTTGTGTCTAACTCTGTTGGAGGAAAGTACCTATCAAAGGGAAAGAGAATTTCTCTAAGATACGAAATCGCACAACTTTTTTTTTGCACTCCGCTTAGGAAAAGTGAAAAGTGCGGGTCGAAGGCATTTTTCTGGAATAATTCTACAAGTCAAAGTAATTCCAATATCCATACTTGATTTAAATTATATACGAAAACCAAACGTCAACTTAAATTCGACTTTGTTTACGCTCGGCGAAGCGCACATTGACATCTTCTTCGCATCGCTCCCCCTGTTTATAAAATTCCATAATCCCCCCACATTCTGTATTGTAAATTTGGGGTAATTTATTCGTATGTAAGTACGCAGAATCAATGGTCAATTTTAATTGGCGCCATTAAACGTCGCGATTCCTGTTATAACCTGCCATCATCTGCAACCAGTTCTTGCGGCATTTCCGCTCGGAGGCCATCTCATGTTAAGTCAATTTGTTTAGGGAAAAAAAACGATAACGGTTACTTTGCAGCGAAACTCGTTTTAATCAAACGGCGCGTTTAGCGATTGATTGGAACTGCAGGTCGAAAATGGTGTGTCTGGATGGAATAATTGCACATATCCTCGACTTCCTCGATGGAATTGTTTGGATTTTTTGTTATTCGGTCATTAAGTTTGCAATAAAGTGAATTATAAAGCCATTTGGTCGGTTTATAACTGCAGGGAGAGGAGCGAAAAAATCGGAACGGTAGATTTGATTGCACCTTGGCTATTATTATGGCGTTTAGCATCTTAGCTCATTAGAAAACGATTGACTCATTCGTCGCTTTTATCATTATGCGTTAAGGCGAGTTCGGCATAAAATTTAGAGAAATTTCACCCCTAAGTGAACGTGTAATTGCTGGTCCTTTTGAGCTTAGCACCGCAGAAAGTTATAATCCGGCACTATTCACACGGTATCCACCGGTCGGTGGGATTAAATTAAACATTTCATGATACGGATCGAAGTTTACATTAGCATTAATAAGCCATTTGTCGAAACCAGTGTAATCTAACTGGTTAGAAAACACGTCTTCGAAAAAAACTCATTTCTCAACGTCTTAAATTAATCTAAGAAGTAACAGCCTTAATTAAATAATGACAATTGGTTTAATCGCACATATTCTTTTGTTGCAGATTTCGGGGACAATCAGCGATAATGTCGAGTCGCAAGTTTCTTCTTCTGCTGCTGCGGTTAGGTTGCCTTCTGGGCGATGCGGTGGCGTTAAAGGAGCAGAAGTTCGCGATGGAACCACAAGATCAGACGGCCGTGGTGAACTCGAGGGTTACTTTGCCGTGTCGCGTGATTGACAAGAGCGGCACCCTGCAATGGACCAAGGACGATTTCGGATTGGGCACGCATCGAAATTTGAGCGGGTTTGAGCGCTACAGTATGGTCGGGAGCGACGAAGAAGGTAAACGAATGTTATGAAATATATAGCAAAAAAAACAGTCAATGTAGGCAACCAAGATTACACCCGACCAACAAAATTCCTTCTCCCTTCAAGAATGGAATAATTAAAAATGAAATACCTAACGGTCCTGCAACCCTTTTTAAAATTCATCTCGATTTTTTTGCGAATTATTGAGACCCCTCTCGATACCCTCTTCATTATACCCGAGATTATACCTGAAATTAAAGGTCTCATTGAGTAGTATTCGACTCATTCCGTGACCAAAAAGTAGCGGTTCTAGTTCCCCCAACCTCTATGACAGTTATTCTAAACCGCGTTTTTCCAATTCTTCTATTTCGCATTGAAGCTTTTCACTCTGATACACTGTATGAAAAAATCCCTGTATGTATCGTTCATTATATCATAATTTGGCCGTTTTTCCGACAATGGGGGTTTACATTATAGTTGAATTCCGCAGTTCTAATTTAATAAGCGTGCACCTGAAACCACAAAACATTTTTTCTATTTCGGTGTCACAATGATGATTTTGTACAACTGTTTTCGGCCGAAAACAGTTGTACAAAGACAGTGATTATAGTCGTTTTTTTTTGGTAACTCATCTCTTAAGTTGGCAGTTACTAGTTAGTACAAGTAGGTACTTCGTTGGGTACTTCCATGTTTGAACTTCAAAATGTCAGTCTTACTACGCTGCCAACCTAAAACTTAACGGCATAAAAAGTGTTCCCAACATAAAACATGTTAGTTCTAATGTTCCCTATAGTTTCTCATAATGATTTTTTTAATTAAATTAAAGCACCGAAATAGAAAAAATAGTATGAAAAACGCGTGTTACAATGCTTTATTGTAATACTCCTATCTTGCGGACACTCGTGCCTACGCTTCGCGTCGCCACTCGTGCCACAAGATAGTCGTATTACAATAGGTCGCATTGTAACACTTGTCTTTCAATATACTATTTTTGGACAGTAAAAGTTCATTTAAAAATAGAGTCTGATTAGCAAAAAAATAATGAACATGTGCGGTTTTAAGGGTTTAGTCAAAACGATATGATTGTGGCGGGCTCTGTGACGTAATAAGCCCGACCAATCAGCTCCTAGAACCATTCAGATGACATAACGACTTGGCAATATTGCAGGAGAATGTCAAGGTTGCCGGATCACTTCTACGTGATTGGTTGTAGGTTTGTGACGTATTTAGACTGAAGCGTTTCAAATTCGGACTAAAAACACAGCTTTTGAATAATTTATTTTGGGTTTATTTTACTCGCAAATAAAAATTGAGGACACACTGGTCTTTTTATTTTTAATGTACTTTCTAGATCAGAAATAAAAAATGAAGCATCTTTTCTTACTTCATGGGTCGTTTTTTCATCTTCTGCAGAGGCACCTCTAAAAAGCATTATGCGGGTCACTCTGTAATTGGGCGCAAGCCTGTTGAGGACCCAGAACAAGAGAGGGATAATAAATAAATAAATAAATAAATAAATAAATCTCAATCGTCCACGATGCGGTTCCTTCATCCTATGGTCATCCTCACGCACTCCTTCCTTCAACCGTCGCGCCTCCTCTAGATTTTTCTTCCTAGTCTTCATCATCGCCGACCTCAATATTCTCATTACCGCCACTTCTTCTCTTCCCTTGATATGTGGGTTTAATTCATCCAACCAGCCTTGGGCGGTTAAGTCCGCTTTCGGTGAAATGGGACCTAAGATATTAAAAAGTCTTTGGATCTTCCCAAACAGACTGATCACTGAACAGGGGATTATCGCCGACCCTGGGTTTCTGGAAAACCCGCAGTAACTTGGACACTGGTTCTAACCCTGATTTTGTCATCGTTGTACGTGATCGGTTACCGGCCTACGAGGGCTTTACTATAAGTTTCTAAAAGCTCTTATAAGCCTCCAAGGATTTAGAAAAGTCGTTCTATCTAAACGTTTCTGAAAAATGATACTCTGAGAGTCTTCCAGAAGGCGTACGAATCTTTAATTGCTTTTAATTAATTAATCTAATTAATGGTATTGGTTTAAGAGAACGAAGTCTATACTCCAACGATTAAAGATGGCCGCTGAAACGTATTAGCGTAATTCTGTAGGCGTGTTAGAAAATGAAACAAGGGTAGGGACGTGCCCTGGAGCATTTTAGGGAGGGCATTACTACGTGTAACTTATCAGTAGGAAAGCGTCGCGGATTAAATTAAAGTCGAATACGTGACGCATTGCAAAATAAAGCTACGCGCAAAACCGCATGAGTGATAACGTTTACGGAAGTTCATTGTAAGTCAGTAAATAAACATTAGCAATATTTAGCGCAGTTAGTAATATCGCCAGCACAGAAGTATCGTTGGCAGGTGAATTAACCGGACTCATTCGGAAGGGATCATAAAGCAAGTGTACGTTCGAATTATTACGTAAAAAATTCGTAAGTACGAGCGGCCTTTTCCGGCATATAAATCGGAAGTTTAGAGTGACAGTTCAGTAAAAAAAAAATCCGAAGCGACAGTTTTAAAAGATATATTTTATTAGCTTCAGTTGATGACGTAGAATTTGTTTGGTCTTATAATGTGCTGATAGTAAATTATATTACAGTAGCATTTAAATCTGATTGAAAGCAGACGATATAAATATACGGTTCATTGCCTCATCAAACTATTTTTTTCGAAATCGGTTTCTAGTCTATAACTTTTGATTGAGAAGTCTAATCGAAAAGGTACGAATTGTTTTGGATTCTACGCCCCAAAATTAGTAAGAAAAAGTGTTTTCCCGAGAAATTTTGGTGTAGTCGATTTTTGGTAAAAAAGGAAGGTTATACACTGCTTTTTTTTGAGCCCCGAAAAAAAAATTGTCTCAGATCGACCCGGAAAAAAATTTTCTTATAGAATGTGGCCTGTAGAATCCATAATTTCAAACAGTTCCTAGATTGGGCTACTAGTTCAAAAGTTACAGTCCTTTGAATTTTCTTTCGAAATTGGTTTCTAGTCTATAACTTTTGATTGAGAAGTCTGATCGAAAAAGTACGAATTGTTTGGGATTCTACGCACCAAAATTAATAAGAAAAAGTGTTTTCCCGAGAAATTTTGGTGCAGTCGATTTTTGGTAAAAAAGGAAGGTTATACATTGCCTTTTTTTGAGCCCCGAAAAAAAAATGTCTCAGATCGACCCGGGGAAAAAATTTTCTTATAGAATGTGGTCTGTAGAATCCATAATTTCAAACAGTTCCAAGATTGGGCTACTAGTTCAAAAGTTACAGCCCTTTGAATTTTTTTCGAAATTGGTTTCTAGTCCATAACTTTTGATTGAGAAGTCTAATCGAAAAAGTACGAATCGTTTTGGATTCTACGCACCAAAATTAATAAGAAAAAGTGTTTTCCCGAGAAATTTTGGTGCAGTCGATTTTTGGTAAAAAAGGAAGGTTATACACTGCCTTTTTTTGAGCCCCGAAAAAAAATTGTCTCAGATCGACCCGGAAAAAAAATTTTCTTATACAATGTGGCCTGTAGAATCCATAATTTCAAACAGTTCCAAGATTGGGCTACTAGTTCAATAGTTACAGCCCTTTGAATATTTTTTCGAAATTGGTTTGTAGTCTATAACTTTTGATTGAGAAGTCCGATCCAAAAAGTACAAATTGATTTGGATTCTACGGACCCAAATTAATAAGAAAAAGTGTTTTCCCGAGAAATTTTTGTGTAGTCGATTTTTGGTAAAAAATGGAAGGTTATACACCTTTTTTTGAGCCCCGAAAAGAAAATTGTCTCAGATCGACCCGGAAAAAAATTTTCTTATAGAAGGTGGCTTGTAGAATCCATAATTTCAAACAGTTTCAAGATTGGGCTTCTAGTTCAAAAGTTACAACCCTTTGAACTTTTTTTCGAAATTGGTTTCTAGTCTATAACTTTTGATTGAGAAGTCTGATCGAAAAAGTACAAATTGATTTGGATTCTACGGACCCACATTAATAAGAAAAAGTGTTTTCTCGAGAAATTTTGGTGTAGTCGATTTTTGGTAAAAAAGGAAGGTGCCTTTTTTTGAGCCCCGAAAAGAAAATTGTCTCAGATCGACCCGGAAAAAAAATTTTCTTATAGAATGTGTCCTGTAGAATCCATAATTTCAAACAGTTCCAAGATTGGGCTACTAGTTCAAAAGTTACAGTCCTTTGAATTTTTTTTCGAAATTGGTTTCTAGTCTATAACTTTTGATTGAGAAGTCTAATCGAAAAAGTACGAATTGATTTGGATTATACGCACCCAAATTAATAAGAAAAAGTGTTTTCCCGAGAAATTTTGGTGTAGTCGATTTTTTGGTAAAAAAGGAAGGTTATACACTGCCTTTTTTTCAGCCCCGAAAAAAAAATGTCTCAAATCGACCCAGAAAAAAAATTTTCTTATAGAATGTGTCCTGTAGAATCCATAATTTCAAACAGTTCCAAGATTGGGCTACTAGTTCAAAAGTTACAGCCCTTTGAATTTTTTTCTAGTCTCTAACTTTTGATTGAGAAGTCTGATCGAAAAAGTACAAATTGATCTGGATTCTACGCACCCAAATTAATAAGAAAGTGTTTTCCTACGGAGATCCAGGTTTCATTCTGTAGTATCCTGCTTTAAGGAACCCTCTTTAAGAAAGGCAGTACTGCTTGTAGGGAAATCATCGATTCCAGAAAACGCTACATTTAAGGTAACGAATTTTTTTAAATTTATGATCAAAGGAACTATCGGTTCTCTTTAAGAGATTGCATTAAATTTTATTTGTAAGTAGTCAGAAACAACTCTTAAAGGAATAGATCACATTGTAAATTGGCTGAATGTAGCAGAAGGAATATTGGATTTTTCTTTTGAAGTAAAGCAAAAAGGGACTCAATATATTTTTTGATTTTCCTTAGGACTCTTGTCGTAGTTTTTAGGAAAAGCTTTGTATATTGGAGGGTATTTGATAGCCCCCGGACTCTTTACTACGTGATAGTCTTTGGAAAAAGGAAATTGATTCTTCCTATACTGGGAGTATGGGA